GTGTTTGTTTTTACGGGCAAGAAGTGACTCCTGCAGGCAGCAGATAGAAGGGTCTTGTTTTTTAATCCAACTAGGCAGTCTATGTCGCTTAATTGGAGAGTTCAGTCCGTTAACATTAAGAGATAGGACTGAGAGGTATTTGGGAGTTCCTGCCATGTTATCTACCTTCTTGGAGGCTGCGAAAACTGGGTTATTCCTATGGTTCTTGGATTCTCAGTTTGGGTGCAGTTTCTTGGCATTTATTGCGGCCTTGTTGGTTTTCTATGTGTAGGACATCTTTAAGAATCTTTTGTAGGGCTGGTTTGGTGGAGATGTATTGTTTCAATTTTTCTTTGCTATGGAAGGTTTTTATTTGGCCTTCAGTTATGAAGGAGAGTTTAGCTGGGTACAGTATTCTTGGTTGATAGTTGTTTGTTTTTAGGGCATGGCATACATCATTCCAAGCTCTTCTTGCTTTGATTGTCTCTGCTGAGAAATCTGAGGTGATTCTAATTGGTTTCCCTTTATAGGTGATTACCCTTTTCTCCTTGACAGCTTTAAGGATCTTTTCCTTGTTCTGAGTTGATCCTGTGTGGATTATAATGTGGCGGTGGGATGTCCTATTCTGGTCTGGTCTATTTGGGGTTCTAAAGGCTTCTTGTATCTCGACAGGCCTATCTTTTTGCATGTTTGGGAAGTTCTCTGCTAGGATCCTGTTAAACAAATTTCCTAGACCATTAACTTCTGTTTCTAGGTGCTCCTCTACACCCTTTATCCTTAGATTAGGCCTTCTGATGGTGTCTTCCAGGTGTTGGATAGATCTATCATATTTCTTGGACTTGTCTTGGATGGTTGTATGTACTTTCTCTATAATATCTAGGCTGTCTTCAATCCCTGAGATTCGATCTTCTGCATGGTCTAACCTGCTGTCAAGACTCTCTACTTTGTTTTTTATCTCTTTTCCTTCTAGTTGATCAGGTTTGATGGCTTCAAGTTCTTTCTTGAAGCTCTGTTTTAGGTCTTGTATGAATTTCTTTACTTCCTTAATTTGGTGTTCAGTGTTTGTCCTCAAATCACTTAGTTGATTGGTTATGGTTTCTTTGGGCTCCCATTCCTTCTGTTGGGTTCCATTTAGCATTCCCTTTGTGGTCTCCCTGACTTCCTTCAGCTCTTTGTTAATGGATTCCATGAATTCTTTTAGTGATCTTTGTGTTCTCTACCTGGTCTCTCAATTCCTGCATTACTCTTTGATTAGCTTCCTCCCGTTCGTGGGATTCCTGCAGATCTCTTTGAGTGTTCTCAGCCTGCTCACGCCATTCCTCCCTTTCTCTTTGAGTATTATCAAGTTGTTCACGCAAATCCTGTATCAGTTTTTGAGTAGCTTCCTCACGCTTATGATATTCCTGTATAAATTTCTGGGATGCCTCCCCACTCTCCCTATCACGCTCATACAGAGTCCTTTGTACTTTGTCAAACTTCTCATTTATCATGTTTGCCAGCAGTGTTTGTAGAGCTATTTGGGAACTCTCCTCTGGATTATTCATTATCTGTTCTAACCCCTGATTATCAAGATTGGAAATTGAGAAACCCGAATTTGCCATTTTTTCTTTGTTTTTCCGGGTTACTGTGCCCATTTGAGATGAAGATAGCACCAGTTTTGTGCTAGAACACTATCTTAAGGCAACCATCAACCAAAGTTTTCATTTGTACAGTCAATAGTCTACAGATACAATCTAGTTCAACAGATACATCTATTCGACATCAAACAACTATATGTTAAAGGACTTGGAACCGCAGAGAAGAATTTGGAAAACCAGAAATTATTAGAGTTAGGGAGAGATGTGGGTAAAAAATAGGAATAGATTGGTGTGGGGAGGCACAGGGAGAGTTAACTCTGTCCTAATCACAATGCAGGAAATAGGTTGGGTAGGATGCAAGTAGAGAGAGAGAGAAAAAGAAGAAAGGGAAAGGAGAATGAAAAGAGACCAGAAAAAAATGGAAACGTAAAAATTAATGTTATTATAGAGATTAAAAGACCATCTATTTAGAGAGGATTGTGAATATGTTGAGAAAAAGGGAGGGACATAGAGGAGATGTGAAAAACTTTAAAAACATGCTTAAAATATTATATAGGTATAAAGAGGTAGTACTGCTATTAATGAATTTAAGTCTCAGAGGTTTTGAATTGAGTAATAAGTTTGTGGATTAAGTGTGTACACAATGGGGGATAGGGTCTACTAGTTAACTACGGGTTTATCTGAGGATGTGCAGGACAAGAGTTAAGTCACATAAAGAAGAACAAAAGAGGAAAAGGTGGAAAGGATAGGAAAGTGAGAAGAAAAGATCAGAAGTTCAGAAGAGCTAGACAAAAAACAAAAAGATAATTAAGAATGAAAGAAAAAGAGAAAGAAGACAAGAAAGAAAGGAAAACACACATTCACGATATTCCTAAAATAAAATTTATGAGAAAAAAAAAGTTACTGGAAAACAATTATTTTTTCAGAGGAGGCAAAAATTAAAGATTAATAAAACTTTTAGAAAAGGAAAAAAATGTTTTTATATATATGAGAAAACAAAAAACAAGAAAAAAATACAAAACAAAAAAAGAAAAGAAGAAGAAAAATAAAAGTTTTTGATTTTTGTTTTTTTGGGGAGAAGGGTGGGAAGGGTCCTGTATCTCCCTTTTGTCTGTAGCCAGAGTCTGGTTGTAGTCTCTGGTCAGCTTGAGGTCCTGTGGCTTGATTGGTTTCTTAAGTCAGTTTGTTGGAACAGGCAGAAAAATGCTCTGCTTTACCCAAGATTTTGAGATGCCCCTCCCAGGTTAGTTTACTGGGAGGGTGATCTGCTTTGAGAATCACACAAGAGGGGGATGCAGTGATGGGGCTAGATTCTGGGTAGAGTTGAGGCCTTTCAACAAACAGTAGCTTTTCCCTGGGGCTATTTTGTGAAAAAAAAATCACAGCACCCAGCCTGGAGCCATTCTCAGGGTTTCTGTTTTTCAATTGATTGTGGTGGCGGCTAGAGGGAGGGGCAGCCTCTGGCTCTGGTTACCCTGTGAGGAGAGCCACTCCAATGGCTGGCGCCTGAGCTGGGTGACTTTTCCCCGGATGGAACTGAGTCTGTGAGGTCACTTCGCCGTTAAGTTCTTGTGACCTGCTAAATGACTCGTTTTATTCCAAGGCCTGAGCTGGAGCTAGAAGCTCCTCCGAGCTTTGTCGGTATCCAAGATGGAGATCACCGGTGCTGGAGGGGGAGGGGTGCCCTTCCCTCCTCTGCTCCCTGAAAAGGAGTGAGGAAGTCGGGCTTCTACTCACGCCAAGTCTTGGATCCTGGGTAGTCTCTGGTCTGCAAAGCGCAGGATGAAGTTGTCCGCTCCTTGTTGGTTCTTGCTGGTGTTGAGTAGAATCCGCTCATCTGCTGCGTCTGGCTCCTTCGTCCTGGACTGTGTCTCAGGTATGCCCCTGCGGCGGTGGTCGCTGCCGAGACCCTGCCGCCGCAGCGGCAGCTGCTCAGATGTGTCTGTCTGGCTTCCCCCCTCTTGACTAACTCTCTGTCCTGTGATGGCACACTTGGTGTGATTCTCTGGCTTGGGACTGTTCACTGGAATTTTGAAACTGTTTTCTATGCAAGAGCTTGTTCAGATTCCAGCTTCTCCTCCGCCATCTTCCCGGAACTCCTTAGGTATGAAATTTTTCACAAGAATACCATAATAAAAATTGTTAAAGGAACAAAAAAGAAACTTTGGGGAATTTAACCCTTAAAACTGGACTTAGAACTCAGTTTTAATTGGAAGCAAACTCCTAATACACATGTGTAGTGATTCTGAACCACAAAAGAGAAGACATACAAATACTTCTTGTGTTCAAAACCATAACATGAATATCAGTAACTTTTGCATTTATGCTTGCTTGATACTATAGTATTCTAAACTGGTAGGAAGAGAAGCATTCTGATGCTGTTGCACATACCACGAATTTTTGAGAAAATACGACGATAATAGACATGGGAAAGTGGAGATAGAATGGTACTATATGTTCATTATTGCATAACCTAGAAACATCCAAGAGAAAACCTACAGAAAGTGTTAGGAAGGTGGGCAAAATCGGTATATCTTGTGTATCTTCTAAAGTAAATCGGAGTCAGTAAAATACAGCTGGATACCTTACATTAGGAGGAAGAAAACAACCCCACTAGTTGGGTTTTTAACCAACAATTGTCACCTTTTATAGTGCCTCCTTTGATATAGGTCTCTCTTAAAGTGATAGGGCAAAGATTGCTCAATTTCAATTCCTGATGCCAGAACTCTCAGATCAACTTGTGCTTGTGTCAACTGAAACAGATAATAAGGGCACAAACTACCCAGCAGGTTTAACACCTTTTTACTATTCTTTTATATAAGAAATTTCCTGAAAATTATCTTAGGATTAGAAGATATGCACCTTGGTGTAATTTTCTGTATTCTTCAAAATTCTCCAAATGGATATTATATCTTTCTTCTCACTATTGTTTGTTTATGTATCTATAACACTGTTTTACTTTCTTCTATTTTGTGTGTAGTACTAAAATCAGTGGTAAATGTACAGTACTATAGTAGTATTTCTCAGAGCAAGAAAAACAAAATAAGTTTTAACATAGTTTAGGATCCAAAGGAATGAATGGTGATAAACATTCAATAGAGACTCCTTTTATGAGAATTGTCAAATGACGGTATTAAAACCTAATAGGGCCTAAAGTTTTATTTACTCTGGATGTTACTAGAAGTCATGAAATTCTTTGAGTTCAAATCGGTTTGGTTCAAAATAAATTGACGAAAGGGACACAAACGTTGTTTGACTAATTGTAGTATGAAATAAGTCATGAAATTCTTTGAGTTCAAATCGGTTTGGTTCAAAATAAATTGACGAAAGGGACACAAACGTTGTTTGACTGATTGTAGTATGAAATAATGAATTCGACAATGTAATAACAGGAATAAATTTGAATCCAATCATCTATATTAATATTTCAAATTTTCCTTTCAGATATTCTCTATGCTTCATATGATGTGAGCGTCAACAGTGCCAGTACATTGACATTTGAACACCCATAGTAATAAAAGCATAATTAACAAATTGAAATTGTTTATTTAATATTAAGAAAACATGCCAGCACAAACAAATGGCAAGAAATATGAAGGAGAAAGAGAGTCAAGGAAAGCTATCATTCTATGTCTTTCAGAATGCAACAGGAATATGGCTATGATATTATTTTGCAAGAATGCAATTTCAAAAATGCTTCTTCCTGAGAGAATTTTTTTGTTGGTTTTGGATATTAAACTGTATCCCTGCACTCACTGCAGAAGATCCCTTCACTACTTGAGGCATAGTGCAACTTTGGGTGTTATAGAAGGTTATTGGAATTGAGTCACATGTGTTTTCCTGCATTGGATGCCTTTGAACTGCAATCCTCTGACCTCATTCAGTAGAAAAGCTGGCACCTGGATTTCATGAGAATTTTAGAATAATTGATGTGATAAATTTTCTTAGTTGAGTCAAAGATAAATTACAATCTTCTACTATAATCTAAAATCTTCTACATTGGGATTGAGGCTAAGCCATCTAAGAACTTTACATTTTGCAGATACTGATGTGCCATAAACACAATAAAAATATTCATACAAATTTTAGCAATTAGTTTACACAATAGTGCAATCATTAATATTTGTTTTCCCCAGAAGGTATTTCCTTGTTCATACAAGCCAGTATTATTTATCTTTCTTTCTGAAAACGCATTTTATTTTCAGACAGTATTGCACATGAATGAATAATACACTAAAAACATTCCTGTTGTAAGTTAGGCTGATGGTTTAAGCACATTTTATGAGGATTAATCTTTGGAAAAAAAGTTGGAACTATGTAGTGAGGATGTAGGATAGAAAGGTGAATTCAGAAGAAGGTCAACATATATGGTGGTTTTGAAACCAGGTTGTATCTGACGATGTGAATATTTAGACAGCAGTAATTTTGGTAATGAATGATGTAAAACATTATGTGCATTCTTTACAGAAACATTTGAATGTAAATAAAATTCTTGTGATTGATTCAATACGAATATTTACTTGAAATCCTGGTGAAGAGAGTCTATGTGTGAATCTCAATACTTTCTATTCATATTGGATTTAGTACAGACTGTAAAAGTCTCAAGGAATCAATGTAGGAAGGAGCAAACTGTCACAAGGCATGTTATAGTGAAAATTTCTGAAAATAGAGGAGATTATTTCTGCCCTTTCATACAGTAATAAATGTAAATAAGGAAACAAATCCTTGCTTGTAAATTTCTCCATTTTCCAAAAGGGTTCATTGCAGTAAAATAGGAACCTATGTATCATCAGTAGAGGAACTATCAATGACTATATTTTGTGAGTATGTGTAATACTATTGTCCAGGCACAAAACCACCTTACAAGAAACTGAATGTCAGTATATTCATTGAGAATCATTTGCATGTCTCCATTTTAGAGGGAACATAATTTCTCTAACATAAATCAGTTCATGGATGTTTTCCTCAGAAAATTGTGATTGTTGAGGATCGAGTTTGGGACAATGTATCACATAGGTCCCTGTAATTCTCAGTCTAGTATTGCCCCAAAGAAATGGTTCATCAATTCATTTTCCCTTTTGGTAAGGCTGTGTACACTTTTGGTCCAAATGTTTTAATTTAAATGGAAACTTTCATAAATGCTTGAATGTCAATTGCTAGAAAACAAATTCAGTGAGTTTTTACTATTTTTTCAGTAGAAAAAATATCTAGTTATATACATAGTTATATCATTACAATATATATCTAGTTACATTCATAGAATTTGCCTAATGATAATGACAATTAAAAATGGTACACTATCATTAGGCAAATTCTCTCAATAAAACCAGTCAAATTCAACTCCATCTGTAAAATGTGCTTAATTCTTTCAGACCTTATGTCTAAATTTATTTCTATTACTTGCACTTAAACAAGTTTTCAATAAAAGTATCTTGTGTATTGTAGCCTCCTGGAACATATGGAAGGCAAAGAAAACCCTGCTGGCTAAACAGAAAGCATGCCAATGAGCATCAGGGTGTGTGCTGGCCAATACCAGGAAGAATTCAATGTAGAAACCAAATTTACTGAATTTTAATACAATTGAAAAATAGTGGAGTTCATTCATGCATAAGAAGAAGTGGGATAATGTCTTAGAATTTGATTCAATTGATAGAAGCACAAGATTTCCTTAGAGTACTAAAATAATGATTCTTACATGAACACTGTCAAATCCCAAGCACACATGATAGACCTGACAAAACTTCATCATTACTTTTGAGAAGCCCTCTGATGGGAATCCTTTGTATCTACTTCAGAGAGGTTTCCTGCTTTGCTTTGGTGTTTATGATTAACTTTCTGAGATATCAAGCAGTGCCACACTTCCCTTTCTTTATCTGTACCAAGCTGTCCATGTTTTTTATTTTAATTAGAGATGTTTCCAGATCCTCCATTTAATGACAAATCATGGTCTTTTATTTTTCTCTCCCATGTTGGTTAGTTTCAATTATCTTTTTTTTTTTTGGTGGGTCATGGGGCTTGAAGTATTTCCTTGGGCGCTGTCCTTGAGCTCCTCAGCTCAAGGCAAGCACTTTACCTCTGGAACCACAGTACCACGTCTAGTTTTCTAGTGCTTTATTGGAGATAAGTCTCTCACGGACTTTCCTGCCCAGGTTTGCCTTGAACCGTCATCCTCAGATCTCAGACTCCTGAATAGCTAGGATTACAGGCATAAGCCACCAGTGTCTGTCCTTGTTTCAATTATCTTTAGCCATTTTTTATATTTTTCTACCGATAGAAATACTGAAATGTTTCAGTTCCTCAGAATCATTAAACAGCTATTCAAGGGGCTGGGAAGGTGGCTCAGTGGTAGTTCACTTGCCTTGCATGCTCGAGGCCCTGGGTTCGATTCCTCAGCACCACATAAGCAAAAAGAAAAAAGCCAGAAGTGGTGCTGTGGCTCAAGTGCTAGGGCGCTAGCCTTGAGCTGAAGAGCTGAGGGACAGCTCCCAGACCCAGAGTTCAGGCCTCACGACCGGACCCCCCCCCCCCCAAAAAAATAAATAAAAACAGCTATTCAAAACAGACAAATTTATAGACCAAAAACATCCTGGCCTCATTATTATATCATCAAATAGTTTAATTTACGCTAGTTTGTTCCTATACATACTTATTTTAGGACAGTGCACTCTTGGGTTTTCTAAGCAATTGGAGTTGAATCACTGGGTTTTCCTGCATTTTGCACTGCAATACAAATCTAGGATTAGAGTTGTAAGCCGCTGGCACCAATTGTCTACTTGTTTATGAAGATCCTTGCCAGTAAGATATACAAAATGCTCAAAGTTTCCTTAGGGTATAACAAAAACTCTTTGGCATATTTTTAAATAAAATGACTTGGTGTTTATGAAAAATGATGATACCAAATCTACATAATATGTGACCTATCTGTTCTAACACCTTTTATATATCAGAAACGCTTCAATACAACTTTTCAAAACCTGGCATAATAGCTTCCTATTTTATTAAAATCTAACTGAATTTATGTTGTTCTACATAAACCTGTCAATAGATTCTTGAGTTTCAAATTTTGTAATTGAAAGTTATAGTGCAGGAAATTTGCATGTACTTTATGTTAAATAATGCAAAGGCATTCCTAAAGACATACATTCAAAGGATTTTTGTATAGCTTTTATAGTTTATTGTATAGTATTTAGTAACATTAATATTTTTGTAAGTGAAATATATGGTATATAAATGAAGAAATTCATCTGGGAACTTGTTTTTCTCTTGCTGTTTTCATTTAATATTTGTGACTATTTCCTTTGTGAAATCCGAGAAAACATCAATGTTACTTTAAATTAATTTTAATCAAAAATGTGAACTAAAAGAAATATGTACAAAGATCCATGTTATCTACAAGGAAGGCTAAGGAACGTTTTTGGCAGAAGGTGATTAATTTCTCTAAGAGTCTTTTTGTGAAACTGTCTCCTAATGAAAATATTGATTTGTAAAGAAACTAAACAAGGAAAGAATAATACATAAAGAATGACTTACTGTGGCTATATAAGCCATAGTAAGTTTACAGATGTGTTTTCAGGACAATTTACACAGAACCAGTAGTTGGTGTGTAGATAAAAATTGTGACATATCCGTTCACATTAGTGCTCTACTGAATACTCACACATTTCTATTATACTGAATTGGAGTACAACAACTCCCAAAAAGAAATGGGACATTGTCTTTCGGGTTCAAGCCGGAAGTCAGCACTTCCGTTGTCATATGCGGAAGTATGGCTGAATTCCATCAGTTGGTAAAACGGAAGTGAGATTGAGGAACTACATCACCATAGCGTTGGCCCCATGTAGAAAAGTCATTATAGAGAAGTAGCTGTTGCTGTGGAAAACCTACTAGTGGGACATCGTCTGACCTGGGGAGGGAGACATCCTCACTGGTTTGGTGAATCCAGTTAACTGAAGGAGACAGGTAACAGTCCCTAGATTTCTTTTCGGACTTCCACGACATAGACATGTAAATCATCATTTTGTATGTGACTGAGACATTTCTCGCTGACATCCCAAATGTAGTTCTTATAATTTTCTCCAACTAGGCAGTATTATTTCATTGGTAAAATAATGAAAATTCTTTACTTCCTTAGACTTAAGAAAACACGTTTCCATTTTGGGGTATTTAAAATTTACTTTTATTACTGTCACTTTTATGTGAGTTAGTCATAATGTAATGTCTTCTGGCTCTGCTTCATGGCCACTAGACACTGTACTACTAAAATTTACTACCTATTGAATGACAGCACCCATCTCAAACTTTGACTCTTACTAGTCTCAATTATTCCTTTGCTTTGTGATGCATATATTCTCTAAGAATCAGTTACCTGAATAATACTCCATACTGATCTTATAATCTGAATAGGAATCACGATATATCTATGAAAAAGGAAAATCCTCCTTCAGACAAGTGCCTATTTTCAATAGGTATTAGATGGTTGTAAAATGGAAATTGGAATTTTTAATTCAGACAC